AACTGTCTTGACAACACCAGCGAGGAAGCGCCGCTGCCAAAACATTAATGGATCTAGGGCAAAACTCAGCCCCGAGCAGGAAGGCAGCGTAACACCCAGGCACCGTAACCACCTTCAAAACAAGGCTTAACCAGGACCTGAAGCTCATCTAAGCAAACCGAATCGTTAACAAGCATGTCATGTCCCTGGGTGGTCTCTGCAGTTGCACAAAGGTCTGACTCCAACGCGTTCAACAACTTTTCTACATGTTATTGAGGATCAAGCTGCTCTGGGTGAACCTGCTCGGGCAGGGGATTGGACTAGAATCATAGAACCAATCATTTAGGTTGGAAAAGACCCTTGAGATCATCAAGTCCAACCATCAATCCCACTCTACAAAGTTCTCCCCTACACCATATCCTCCAACACCACATCTAAACGACTCTTCAACACATCCAAGGATGGTCACTCAACCACCTCCCTGGGCAGCCTATTCCAACGCCTGACTACTCTTCCTAATGTTCAGTTTAAACCTACCCTGTTGTAGCTTGAAGCCATTCCCTCTTGTCCTATCACTAATTACCTGGGAGAAGAGACCAGCACCAACCTCTCTACAATGTCCTTTCAAGTAGTTGTAGAGAGCGACGAGGTCACCCCTCAGCCTCCTCTTCCTCAAACTAAACAGTCCAGCTCTTTCAAACGTTCTTCGTACGATTTGTTCTGCAGGCTGATCTCCAGAGGTCCCTTCCAACCTCTGTCACTTTGAGAGGCTACTCAAGCACGCAAGCAGACAAAATTCCAGTAATAATCCCACCACTAATTCACAGGGAGCACGAGTTCTTCAGGACGCGGACCGGGGATAGAACGAGGGGAAAAAAAAAAATGGAGAAAATAAGATTTTTGTGGGGATTTGCCCTTCTAATGAGGCTTCAACACACGACGGGGACAGCGCAAGGGGATGCTTTGAAATGGGTTGTGGCGGTTGCCCTTCTAATGAGGCTTCAACACACGATGGGGACAGCACAAGGGATGCTTTGAAATGGGTTGTGCCTCTGAGGTCTCAGGGTGGATGGTGAGGAGAAGAAGGTCAGGCTTGTGCAAGACTCGTCTGCTAAAGTAGGTCAGTGATCCAACCCCTCCATTTAGGGTTACACGCCTTCCTGATGACTTCAGCATCTAACTGTCTTGACAACACCAGCGAGGAAGCGCCGCTGCCAAAACATTAATGGATCTAGGGCAAAACTCAGCCCCGAGCAGGAAGGCAGCGTAACACCCAGGCACCGTAACCACCTTCAAAACAAGGCTTAACCAGGACCTGAAGCTCATCTAAGCAAACCGAATCGTTAACAAGCATGTCATGTCCCTGGGTGGTCTCTGCAGTTGCACAAAGGTCTGACTCCAACGCGTTCAACAACTTTTCTACATGTTATTGAGGATCAAGCTGCTCTGGGTGAACCTGCTCGGGCAGGGGATTGGACTAGAATCATAGAACCTCCCTTTCCTCAGGGCTGCTTTCCAATACCTGCTTTCCAATTGCTGCCCATCTTTTACAGATGGGGACAGTGAGGCACTTGCCCAGGTGATGGGTTGTCCAACGGAGAAGTGGACACCAACCCAAAAACCACAGGCTGTCACTTGGTGGACAGTAACACCATGCACCCAAAGCCCAATCGAACCAAGAAATCCAAGAAGTCGTTAAGTACCATCGTTATCTCCGGTGGTTTACTTTGGTCTTCTTTAAAAGGTGTGGCTGTGAACAAGCCATGAGGCGAGGGGGGGATTAAAGGAAGGGGGAGTAAGAGGTTAATTGGATTCTATTCGGAGGGATTTAAGGTTGGCGGAGTTTTTTTGGTCATAGGGGGACATGTCACTTGTAATGGAGCTAATGAAACACCTCTGGAGACAAAAAACCAACCCAAGCTACGTTCAGAGTTGGCTTAGAGACTTGAAGTTCATTCACCACGAGGTCAGGCAGAGCCGTGACCGCTTTGTTTGAGGACAGTGGGCTGGAAAGGTAACAGCAGAACTGGTTTTACTTTGCAAAATCTGGTTTTTCTCACTCAAGGCTGCTGGACCTAGGGGTAATTAAGCAGATTGTTTTGTTACGGATACTCTTCCAGGACAGGAACCTAAACTCTGCCAATATGCTAATGCAATTTACTGAGTCCAGCTTCAATCCTGCTCTCTAATGATATTATATTCTTTTTCTATAAATAGAACAGGGAGGGCAAGTGTTTTGCTGTGAATACCTGTCCTCCTCGATGCACTTTTCTTGGGGGGTTGTCATCTTCCAGCCCACTTCCTTTTGGTTTCCACAAGTGGAATTAAGGGTTTCTTTTCAAGTCTCCAAAGCCCTGACAAAACCAAACCTCTGCCCCAAAGCCAAACGACCAAACATGACTTGAATGCAAGAAAGGGAGCGTTGGCTTCCCCAGTCCTGCAGTCCTTTTCTGTGTGAAAAACGTTCATGATCCGAAATTACCTCGTCTTCCAAGTCAGGAAGAAAACCTCTAATAGCAAGGTAAATCACAGGGAAAAAAATCAGATATTTTTAGCAGGCAATTTCAAAAACATAGAGGTATTTTGTCAAAACGAACCACCAACTTCATAATGCAAGTTACTTTCTAAATTAAAAAGTCGCAGTGAAAATTAGTTTCCGATTTTGCAGGTTTTACATTCTTGCTTGGGGGATAATTACAATAATCCGGTAATTATCTTTCCAAGGCACTTTTAGAAAACCAAAACTCTACTTCTTCATTCCCCCTGTCTTCCTTCAGGAGTTTAAGAATAAAGTTGGATTTAATGAGAAAAGAAGATAATTACCTGGGAGAAGAGACCAGCACCAACCTCTCTACAATGTCCTTTCAAGTAGTTGTAGAGAGCGACGAGGTCACCCCTCAGCCTCCTCTTCCTCAAACTAAACAGTCCAGCTCTTTCAAACGTTCTTCGTACGATTTGTTCTGCAGGCTGATCTCCAGAGGTCCCTTCCAACCTCTGTCACTTTGTGATCATAGAATCATAGAATCATAGAATTGCCCAGGCCGGAAGGGACCTCCAAAGGCCTCATCTCCAGTCTAAATCTGTTCCCCTCCAGCTTGAAGCCATTGCCCCTCGTCCTGTCACTGCAGGCCTTTCTAAACAGGCTCTCCCCAGCCTTCCTGTAGGCTCCCTTCAGGTACTGGAAGGCTGCTATTAGGTCTCCCCGGAGCCTCCTCTTCTCCAGGCTGAACAACCCCAGCTCCCTCAGCCTGTCCTCGGAGCAGAGGTGCTCCATCCCCCTGATCATCCTTGTGGCCCTCCTCTGGACCCTCTCCATCAGGTCCACGTCCTTCTTATATTGAGGGCTCCAGACCTGCACACAAGACTCCAGGTGAGGTCTCACCAGAGCAGAGCAAAGTGGCAGAATCCCCTCTCTGGACCTGCTGGCAACGCAGCTTTTGATGCAGCCCAGGATGGGATTGGCCTTCTGGGCTGCAAGTGCCCACTGCCTGCTCATGTCCAGCTTCTCCTCCACCAGCACCCCCAAGTCCCTTTCCTCAGGGCTGCTTTCCAATACCTGCTTTCCAATTGCTGCCCATCTTTTACAGATGGGGACAGTGAGGCACTTGCCCAGGTGATGGGTTGTCCAACGGAGAAGTGGACACCAACCCAAAAACCACAGGCTGTCACTTGGTGGACAGTAACACCATGCACCCAAAGCCCAATCGAACCAAGAAATCCAAGAAGTCGTTAAGTACCATCTTTATCTCCAGTGGTTTACTTTGGTCTTCTTTAAAAGGTGTGGCTGTGAACAAGCCATGAGGCGAGGGGGGGATTAAAGGAAGGGGGAGTAAGAGGTTAATTGGATTCTATTCGGAGGGATTTAAGGTTGGCGGAGTTTTTTTGGTCATAGGGGGACATGTCACTTGTAATGGAGCTAATGAAACACCTCTGGAGACAAAAAACCAACCCAAGCTACGTTCAGAGTTGGCTTAGAGACTTGAAGTTCATTCACCACGAGGTCAGGCAGAGCCGTGACCGCTTTGTTTGAGGACAGTGGGCTGGAAAGGTAACAGCAGAACTGGTTTTACTTTGCAAAATCTGGTTTTTCTCACTCAAGGCTGCTGGACCTAGGGGTAATTAAGCAGATTGTTTTGTTACGGATACTCTTCCAGGACAGGAACCTAAACTCTGCCAATATGCTAATGCAATTTACTGAGTCCAGCTTCAATCCTGCTCTCTAATGATATTATATTCTTTTTCTATAAATAGAACAGGGAGGGCAAGTGTTTTGCTGTGAATACCTGTCCTCCTCGATGCACTTTTCTTGGGGGGTTGTCATCTTCCAGCCCACTTCCTTTTGGTTTCCACAAGTGGAATTAAGGGTTTCTTTTCAAGTCTCCAAAGCCCTGACAAAACCAAACCTCTGCCCCAAAGCCAAACGACCAAACATGACTTGAATGCAAGAAAGGGAGCGTTGGCTTCCCCAGTCCTGCAGTCCTTTTCTGTGTGAAAAACGTTCATGATCCGAAATTACCTCGTCTTCCAAGTCAGGAAGAAAACCTCTAATAGCAAGGTAAATCACAGGGAAAAAAATCAGATATTTTTAGCAGGCAATTTCAAAAACATAGAGGTATTTTGTCAAAACGAACCACCAACTTCATAATGCAAGTTACTTTCTAAATTAAAAAGTCGCAGTGAAAATTAGTTTCCGATTTTGCAGGTTTTACATTCTTGCTTGGGGGATAATTACAATAATCCGGTAATTATCTTTCCAAGGCACTTTTAGAAAACCAAAACTCTACTTCTTCATTCCCCCTGTCTTCCTTCAGGAGTTTAAGAATAAAGTTGGATTTAATGAGAAAAGAAGATGGGACTTCACATCCCTGATTAAAAAAACCCGAACACCACAGTAATGATTTTTATGCAGTTGTATAAAAAATATTACGGGCAGGAGGACCTCAGTGTCTGGACACTTACTGTGAACCCTGGGTAAGAGAAAGCCATAAAAGTGGGCAGAATGGCATAAAACACTAACTTACTGCATGAGGAGATGGAGTGAAGACTTAGATCTGCATGGACTGAGATGGTGAGGAGATCCAGGAGGCTGGTTTTTTTACACCCTGGTAAAAGTGATGTTTGTTCAGCAGGAATTGCCTGTTTCTCCTGCTGTAGTTTGATTCTTCCTTCTTCCTACTGAGGTTTGATTCCTCCTTCTCTGGCTTTAGGAAAGAAGACGGATAAGTAGCTGGCAGGTCTACCAGGAGATACCTAGGAAATAGAATGTCTCTGGTTAATTAAGGGATCAAAATAGCCAAGGTGGTGAAGGAGAGGGGTGGGAAATGTGCCTTGGCATGTCAAGAGGGTTGTGTTCCATGCTGTTAGATACTGTGTCTCTCCCAACACCCAGTCCCGAGCCTCTGTGTTGGCCAGCAAACAAAAGAAAGGGTTTTTTTTGGGGGGTTTTGGTTTTTTTTTTTCCAGAGGGTGGGTCCTGCAAAGCCACTTTGAGAGGGGAATCCAGGCTTTCTGGCATCATCGCTAGCAATAAAAGACAAACCCAGATCGTGTGAGATCTGGACAGGCTGGAGAACTGGGCAAGGAAGAACCTCATGAGGTTCAACAAGGAAAAGTGCAGGATCCTGCACCTGGGGAAGAAGAATGTCAGGCACCAATAGAGGTTAGGGGTGGACCTGCTGGAGACAAGCTCTGAAGAAAAGGATCTGGGGATCCTGGTGGACCCTGCGTAGGGCAGAGTGTGGCCAGCAGGTCAAGGGAGGTCATTCTCCCCCTCTGCTCTGCACTGGGGAGGCCACAACTGGAATACTGCGTCCAGTTCTGGGCTCCCCAGTTCAAGAGGGACAGGGAGCTACTGGAGAGAGTCCAGCATAGGGCAACCAAG